GGGAACTGCGCCGCTACCTTGGCCTGCAGATCTCCAGGGACAGAGCCGCTCGCACCATCACTCTGACTCAGTCACACATGGTGCAGCAGGTCCTTCAGCGGTTCGGGCTTCAGCACTCCACTCCTGCACCCACCCCTCTTGCTGTAGACCACAGACTCACTGGGCCTTTTCCTGACGAGCCGTTCGAGCCCAGTGGTCCCTACGCAGAGTTGGTGGGCTGCCTCATGTACCTGATGACGTGCACTCGCCCGGACCTCGCCTTCCCTCTTAGCATCCTTTCTCGCTTTGTTGCGACTGGGAGACACCGTCCTGTTCACTGGGCGGCGGCTAAGAGGGTGGCGAAGTACCTCGGCGCGACATCAGACATGGGGCTTGTACTTGGAGGGACACAGCCAGTTGTACTCACCGGTCACTGCGACTCCTCCTACGCCGACGACGTTGAGTCACAGAGGTCTACACAGGGTTACTGTTTCAGCCTGGGCTCTGGAGCTGTTTCGTGGAGGTCTACTCGGTCCTCCTCTGTTGCGACTTCTACCGCAGAGGCCGAGATCTACGCTGGAGCCCTCGCTGCACAGGAGCTACGCTGGTTGACCTTCTTGCTCACTGACCTTGGTGAGCGGCCGAGCTCTGCACCGACCTTGTTTGCTGACAACAAGGCGATGATTCTCCTGTGTCGTGAGCCTCGACTGGAGAGCAGAGTGAAGCACATCGACGTCAGGTACTTCCTCCTTCGAGAGTTGCAGAGACGCGGGCAGGCACGTCTGGACTTCGTGGCCTCCGAGGCCAACACTGCAGACATCTTCACCAAGGCCCTCCAGCCTTGTGACCACCGCCGGTTTTGTCTGCAGTTAGGCCTCGTTGAGACTGGGTCTAGTTGACTGCTGTAGGGTGCTCTTTGTCTGTTGCTTGCTTGTACCTCATATATATTTGTTTGCACACTTTTGGACTGGCCTTGTGGCCCTTTGCTTGTGCTCAGATTAGGTGGTGACGTTGTGATCCACCCTGAGCTTTGTTTTCTTTCTCTTGCTTTTGACTGGTCTTGTGACCGTAGGTTGCTTGTTGTTGATTGGCCTTCCCCACTTAGGCTATGGGGGTGTGTCAAATATTATAGCCTGTAGTGGGTTGGGCTATATGGGGTACAACTAGTTAGGGTTAGGTTCCCCGGATATACCCCCATGGGGGGCAATAATAAAACAGGTTTTTTTAGGGGGGTGGGCTTATAATCGAGTAAATTTATAAGCGTCGGCGTTTATAAAATGACATAAATATTTTTTATGTTTTTTAACACCAATTTGTAGATCTCGTGCTTGCCTTTTCAATCGAGTCGAAGTTACATGGGGTCGTCTGTGAAATTCTCGCGCGCGCTGGGAGATACACTCAATCTGACTCACATCCAGCTCCTGACAGCTCCTGCTGACTGGACCCGCATCCAGTGCAGGGTCCGAATGTGAAGGGAACCGAATCTGCAACACATCCGCCTGCTAAAGTAAAAATCGTTACAGCGTTTTGAACACATTTCAAATTTTAAGGTTTAAGTGTGCTTATAATAAAACATTTTTTTTCAGGGGGTGCGCTTATAATCGAGCAGCGGATATAAGCGCCACACGCCAATTAAAAGCGCCAGGCGCTTATCCGAGGGTGGCGCTTATATTCGGGGTATGACGGTACTACACAGGGACTCGAACCCGAGACCTTCGCTCTGATACCATTTCAAAAATCCCAGCCACTACACCACTAGGATAACAAAGATTATGAAGCAGCGGGTGGGTGGATGGGTGGGTACACGCATAACTCCCCAGGCAAAGTGCATTTAACCCTTCTCTAGGATCAATCTAGTGCAAGTCTTCTAACACTCCAGCACCACACTCTCACCATCTCCAGCACCACACTCTCACCATCTCCAGCACCACACTCTCACCATCTCCAGCACCACACTCTCACCATCTCCAGCACCACACTCTCACCATCTCCAGCACCACACTCTCACCATCTCCAGCACCACGCCTCTGGACTGCGCCACTTTGCGCCGCACGTCGCGCTCCACCTCGTCCGCCACGCGCCCCTCGTCCATGGGCACCCAGTTGTCCTCCAGCCTCACGTCCTCGCCCTGCTCTCCGCTCGCACAGTCAGAGGCAGGGGGGGGCCAACAGTAGAAGATGGAGGGAGGAAGCAAAGGTGAGGGGGAAGAGGGGGTTGTATTGTGTTGTATGGAAAGAGTGCAAACGGGGAGTTGGCAAAAGGTGCAGTGCAGCACAATGGAATGTGGTGTTGTGGGGAATGGGGGGAAGGAAAGCAGCTCATGAATAAGTCAGCCGCCGACTGTCCAAGGCTGTGACATCATGGATTGCAAACGCGATCTACTGGCGGTTGAAAAGAAATTGGTGGTGTGGGTGGCTTCAACAGAGCACGCGCAGTGGGGGGCGGCATGGGCTCACAGCAGTGGGGGGCGGCATGGGCTCACAGCAGTGGGGGGCGGCATGGGCTCACAGCAGTGGGGGGCGGCATGAGCTCACAGGTGGGGGGGGCGGCATGGGTGGGGAGGCATCGGGGATGAGTTGAGCGAGTCCCGGTGGGTCGTCAAAGGGGTCGTCCAACACATGCACTCGGCGGATGCTGGTGGGGGAGGGGAGGAAGGCATGGGGGGCATGGGAGGCATGGGGGGCATGGGAGGCATGGGGGGCATGGGAGATTCAGGGAAGGAAGAGCGGAGAAAATGAAGAAAGGGGGAGAAGAGATGGGATTGAGGGGAAAGGAGGAGGAAAAAGGGAGAGAAGGGAGTAGGGAGCAAGGAAACAGGTCACCACCAGCTCTGTGCATGCCGCACGGCCCTCAACAGCAGTGGCAGCAGCAGCGACCGCAGCAGCGACCGCAGCAGCGGCAACGGCAGTGGCAGTGGCAGCAGCGGCAGCGGTGCCTACCGAATGTTCTTGAAGGGGCGGCGTTTTTCATCCACAAAGGCCTCGTTGATGCGCTGCAGCGTGTCCAACCCCTCCGCCACCTCGCCAAATATCTGATGCCATACCTTGCCACGCCATGCCGGGCCATGCCATCCGCGTGCACGAGAGACGAAGATGTGTGGTGATTGAATGTGGTTAGATGTGGAGGGGCTGAGCCACACAAGAATGCGGTGTCATGCCCGCCATGACCACCGTGCAGAGATCCATGCATGCGGTGCCATGGATGTGAGCAACGAGTGGTGGGAAAGGAGGTGAGAAGGAAGAGAGAGAATGAGAAGCACATGGAATGGAACTCACGGTGTGCTTGCCATCCAGTGAGTCCAGCCCAGCCCACGTGGTGATGTAGAACTGGAGGGGGTGGCACAGCACGGCAGCACGGCAGGGCAGCAGGGGAGGGAAGGGTGGGGGAGGGAGAGCGGGAGGGGAATATGGAAGGGGAGGGCGGGGGAAATGCAAGGATGAGACAATATGAATCGAGACAGAAATTTCACTAACCCTTTCCAGCAAATAGGATTGAGCAAAGTGCCTATGCTTGTGTCTATGCATACGGGAGAGCGAGTTTGTTTGATGTGGTGAGTGGTGGTGGCAAGGTAAAAAAAAAACGACCGTATTATTGAAAATTTACGGTAAAAAACGGTACCGTAAAAAACGGTCGTAAAAAACGGTTTAAAACGGTTCCAGGAGGTGTTTTTTGTTTGAAGAAAAAAAAGGCTGATGTGTGGGACTAAATTGATGGCGAAAGGTACCAGGATGAAGAGGACAAACCCATCCTTGCATGAGTGCGCTTGTGGGCATGATTGAAAATGTATACGACCTTGTTTTCCCCTTTTTTTTCTTGGTGACAACAGTTCTCTAACAAAACTAGGCCTTTGTCTTGGAAAATTACCGTAAAAAACGGACCGTAAAATACGGAAACCGTATTTTTGAACCTTGGGTGGTGGTGGGTGGAGGGAGATGGAGAACATGTGGCCTGCATGAACCAACAAGGGAGATATGAAAAGAACACCTAACCTGAGAGGCGGTGAAAATCACCTGAGAGGCAGTAAGAATTACCTGAGACGGGCAGTAGGAATCACCTGAGGGGGGCGGTGGGAATCACCTGAGAGGGGCAGTAGCAACTACCTGAGAGGGGCGGTGGGAATCACCTGAGTGAAGAATCACCTGGGAGGCGTTGAGGTTGGTGTCTCCGCTGGCCATGGCCACCACCCCCACCTTGTCATGCTTGAGGCCCGGCCGAATCTCATCCTCAAAGAACCGCGCCTGCTCGCCGTACAGGAACCTGCCATTGCCATTGCCGTACCGCCGCACACAGGGGGGAAGTTGGCAACGCAGTGAGGGGGAGTGCGTGGGTGCTGTGGCACGAGGCCTCACCTCACCTCACCAACCCTTGCCCCTCACCTCACCTCACCAACCCTTGCCCCTCACAAACACCTATACTTGAGCACAGCACTCTGAACTCCGGGTTCGGTTTGACCCAAACTGCTTCGGTACGGCTTTTTCAGTTTGCAAGTTGAGTTGGAGTTGAGCTGGCTGATCGATCCGTTCGAGAAGGTTCCAGGCCAGGCCAGCCACGCCGAACCTCAGTCGGAGTTCCAACTCTTCGCCAAACCCAAATGCTGCTGCCGAACCGAGCCCGAAGCAGTTCCGACTGAACTCCATATTGTTCGACCCCACCCGGAAAAAGGTTTGACCACAATAGGCTAGGCGGGTCCTTAAACCACTACACCCCCAATATCGGTTCAATTAGATTCGACTACTTGACCAATATCTCATGCACACTCAAGCCGACCTGTAAATGTGAGCCGACCCTTCAGCTCAACCCACCCTGGCCCCTCACCCACCCCTGGCCCTCGCACGCATTTGTAAACGGAGTCACCGCCAGCGCCGGTGCCGGTGGGGTCGCCGGTCTGCACGATGAAGTCACGGTGCACGCGGTGGAAGAGACAGTGGTTCTAGTACTTCATCCTGGAGGGGGAGGGGGGGAGGGGGGAGGAGGAGGAGGAGGAGGAGGAGGAGGAGGAGGAGGAGGAGGAGGAGGATAGGCTAAGGGATGCTGCATGACAGTAGAGGTTGTGGAGGGAGAAGCCGTGAGGGGAGGGAAAAGCCGTGAGGGGAGGGGAAAGCCGTGAGGGGAGGGGAAAGCCGTGAGGGGAGGGGAAAGCCGTGAGGGGAGGGGAAAGCCGTGAGGGGAGGGAAAAGCCGTGAGGGGAGGGGAAAGCCGTGAGGGGAGGGGAAAGCCGTGAGGGGAGGGGAAAGCCGTGAGGGGAGGGAAAAGCCGTGAGGGGAGGGGAAAGCCGTGAGGGGAGGGGAAAGCCGTGAGGGGAGGGGAAAGCCGTGAGGGGAGGGAAAAGGCGTGAGGGGAGGGAAAAGCCGTGAGGGGAGGGGAAAGCCGTGAGGGGAGGGGAAAGCCGTGAGGGGAGGGGAAAGCCGTGAGGGGAGGGAAAAGCCGTGAGGGGAGGGAAAAGCCGTGAGGGGAGGGAAAAGCCGTGAGGGGAGGGAAAAGCCGTGAGGGTAGGGAAAAGCTGTGAGGGGAGGCAAAAGCCGTGAGGGGAGGGAAGAGCCGTGAGGGGAGGGAAAAGCCGTGAGGGGAGGGAAAAGCCGTGAGGGGAGGGAAAAGCCGTGAGGGGAGGGAAAAGCCGTGAGGGGAGGGAAAAGCCGTGAGGGGAGGGTGGGCGTGAAAGAGCCGTACGGAAGAAATCGAGGCGCTTCTGAATGAGCAATGAGTACAATCCGCGCGTCCTTCAACGAGCAATCAGTACAATCCGCGCATCCTTAAACGGTGACGGTATGTGCAGGGCGGAGAGAGAAGGGCGGGGAGGAGGGGAGTTGCATCGGGTTCCCTTGCGGAGGTTCTTAACAAGGGCGACTGACTTGGCGAGGGGGAGTGACTGACTTGGCGAGTTTGAGGAAGTTTTTGGAGGCGAGCGGGCAGAGGTACGTGTGCAGGTCGATCACCATCTCGCCCACGCTCGTCTCCACCAGCACCGCCATCCGCCGCCTCCACGCCCGCCCTTCCCTCCGCCTTGGCCGCTACGTGCTGCTCACTTCCACTGGGCGACGACAGGCATGTGGTGACGCGCGGCAGCACGGGAGAGTCACCAGAGGGGGAATCGGGTATTGGATCGAGCGACCGGCATTCCGAGAGAATGCGCGGCGGGAGTGCGCGCGAAGGGAGTGCGCGCGGAGGGAGTGCGCGTGGAGGGAGAGCAAGAGGAGCAGGGAAAGAGGAGAGGCGATAGCATGTTTTGCCGTTCCCACTGCCCCGCCCTGGATGAAGTATCACCTTACCGGCTCACGCGGTGGGCGGTTGAGCGAGAGCGTACGGGCAACGACCCAGCGATGGGGCGACGCGATGCAGCGCGCAGTGAGGCGAGGTGGGCGACGCGCGCAAGAGAAGAGTGGCGTGATGGCGCAGCGAGGAGTGCGTGCGGTGTGAGGGAGGAAGGCGAGCGAAAATGCGCAGAAACTAAGGGCGATTGCGCTAAGGGTACGAATTTGCCCCAACGTCATCTGGCAGTGCAATCGAGTCAGCAAGCTGACCGCGGGCAAGGAAAAAAATAAACCCATCGCGACAGCATGCCATTCGGGAGCCTCAACCCTAAAATTTTAGGGTTGAGGCTCCCGAATGGCATGCTGTCGCGATGGGGTTTTTTTTCTTGCCCGCGGTCAGCTTGCTGACTCACTCGGTAGCGCTACCGGGTGCTACCGGCGCTCAAAAGTGAAATGTTTTGAGAGAGAAGCGATGTCGCGAAATTAGGGCGCGTGTCTTGTGAGATTAGGGCACGTGTCCTTGGTCCTAATTTGTAAAGTTCATGATTTTTTATCGAGTTTTGCCATTCAAACATTGCTCGAGCTGTAGTCGAGATTTCAACTCTGAGGCTCAGATGGCGTTCCTGAGATGGGGCCCCATCGATTGCGATGGTCGGTGCAACAGCATTGGACCAGCTTGGCAGAACTCGATTCTGGTCACACCTACTACACGTGCCTGGCGACGAGAGTCGCCTAGTGCGAAGAACATGAAAGGTTTGGGTCAACCAATCACATGTTTTTGTATTCAACGTTCATGCGACAAGTTTGAACGGCCAATTCCAGCCAAGCCTCGCAAATGTGCTCCAGTTCCAATCCGGTCCCGACTGGGTTCCGTGACAGTCAAGAGCGACAGTCGTTCTGACGTTTGGCGTCTGGGAAGTTGACGGGCGGAAAAATTGCACGACCATCAGCTCCCAACCTATGCGACGTCCACATTCACCCCCCCGTTTGCTTCCATGCCACACGCACGTGCTATGGGCACTGTAGCATGGTGGACTTCGGATGGGGCCCCATCTCAGGAACGCCATCTCAAGTCGTGTGTCCACCATTCACCAAGGTCTTGGATTACCTGGTTCGTCTTCGTAGGTTAGGGCGTGTTACATTTTCTTTTTTGCCGTTTTGTCCAGACGATGGCCCTGTTCGATAGGCTAACGCTTTGCAAAAGGCGAAGGCTAGGCTAAGGTTAAGAGGAAGGCGCAGCGCAGTTTCCTCTAGCTAATCGATTGCCCAAACCAGTCGGAAGCCCCGCCCCTAGAGGTCGGAAGGAGCGGGGCCCTGAGGACGATACTACTCGCCCCTTTCACTAGGGTCATCTCGGGCTGGGTAAAAAAAAAAAAAAATGCAACGTTCGCTAGAGGAGTCTGGGTAACAACATCGAAAAAAAGGGTCCCACCCACAAATCGAAGCCGTTGGATCAATCTGATTTTCATTCGGCAGATTTTTTTAGAGGAGTTGGGTTTAGCGGTCTATTTTTCTAGGTGCACGGTTTGGGTATCCCTCCCACTCTCAGCCCTTGACGAGCCCTTCGGCAAACCCACTTTTGGGGGGCGAAGGTTAGGCTAGGCCGGGGCTAAACCATTGCCCATGCGGGAAGGACCCGAGATCTTTCTCAAAGGGCTAACGCTTCTTGTCTGGGATCCGTTCGACATGCTAACACTCTGCATTCAGGTTAAAGAGCCTTAAAGCCCTTTGTCACTAATTTAAGGGCTGACCGTGGAAAAAGAAAAAAAAGAAATTGAAACAGCGGCGAGAATTCCGCGGGCGTTTAAGGGACGGTGCACATTTGCCAAGTGGAGGTTCAGAAGTTTTTGTTTTGAGCCAGGCTTGCCAGCGCAAAAGTGTTGGCTGGCGGAAACTTGGATTTCGTGCGGACGCTTTTCCTCTGCAATAACAGTTCGCCAGGGTTTAGGGTTTCGGGTGGCAAATGTGCACCGTCGCTTTAAGGCTAGCCTATCGAACAGGGCCGATGGTCCACAAACCGTCCAAAATAAGCGTACGGACGGGTTGGGCCTCCCGCTAGGCCGGAGGTTAGTCCGGGCGGGGAATCTGGAACATTTTTCCTTTTCGAAATTGGAAACAGTGTTTTAATATTGCACTAGATACTTGTTACTGAGGTGCGCTCAGGGAAAATCTTTGTCGCGCGACTTCTGATTGGAGGAATGTTTTTCGTTTCAAATCCTCGCAGGCCAATCAAATAACGGTTTGGTTGCTCTGTCCGGCAGACGGTCGGGAGTCGCTTGGACGGTTGTGTACACCGAAAATTGTTGAATGTTTCATTGTTGGTACGTACAGATGCGACGCCGCATAGTGATGCGCGGGAAGTTTCGCGATGTGTGACGAAATTGGACCATACAGATAATCCGGACGGCCAACGGTACGGACCGTGAAAGAGAGAAAATGTAACACGCTGACAACAACTCCGATATTTTTCCCGTCCCGCATAGTTCGCTGCTTTAGCGAACAGGTGCAAAGGGGCACACGTTTGACAAATCCTGCTCAATATTGCTCAACTTAGAGCTCGACCCCTACTCAATCTGGGTGTTTGTTTCAATGGTTCTATTGGATGTTCACGAACTTAGGCTGCGTTCTCCAGGCGCATCAGCTCTGATGCGTCTGAGGCTCGGCCTGATGCGCACATTGAGAAATTGAGGTTCGGAAAATGTGAAACAGAAATTGCGAAATTGAGGTTCGGACATTTCAAATTGAGGCTTGGAAAAAATGAAATTGGACACATGAAAATTGGAAATCTAAATATCTCGATCTCAGACGTCCCCAAATTCCTCAATGCTGAGGGATTCGTCAAAGTCAGACAGCACGTATCCACATGCCTGTACATAATGCTTGACCCTGCCCACACACAAGCTGGGTAGCTGCTGAAAAATCTGAAGGGGAAACTCGAACGGGAAGGACTGCTGCTATTCCAGGTGTTAGCAGGGAGGAGTTTTGTTACTGACGTTGGGCAGCAGTCAGCCCAAAATGACGCGACGATTTTGTTTTTTAGGGCGTGGTTCAGTTGCCCTGTACCAGCTGATGCGCGCATCACCCGACTTGCAGCGGTTGCATGGTGCGCGCATCAGTGTTGCAATAGATTGCTAGGACGAGAAACATCCGAGAACGTGGCGACACTTGAAATTTTGGTCGCCAAAAAGGGCGTTCTGCAGGCATTCGGGCTTGGTTTGCCTTGACAGCATGCGCTTATCACGAGCCTTGATAACCTGTCGGCAGGTTATCAAGGAAGGATCATGGAACCAAGGGAAATTGCATCGATGTACATTGGTGCGGCCTGATGCGCCTGCAGAACAAGGCCGAAGTCAGGAAATTGGACATTCAATTTTCTGAATTCAAATATTAGAAGTTTCTCGGAAGTCACATGTCGACGAATTTTGGTTGCGTTCTGCAGGCGCATCAGCCCGGATGGCTACAGTGAACAAGAGTTCCTGGTTCCTTCCTTGATAACCTGTTGACATGTTATCAAGGCTCGCGATAAGCGCATGGCTGCCGAAGGAAAACAACACCGAATGCATGCAGAACGGCCTTTTGGCCCTCAGAATTTGAAATGTCGCCACGTTCCACGAATTTTCCAGTCCTAGCGATCTGGCGCATCACTGATGCACGCATCATGCGACTTTTAAAAATCGCATCATGCGCGCCTTAGCTGATACGCTGCAACCTCATTGGCCAATCAGTTTGGCACCAAATAAATTCCGCGATATTAGACTTCCTGGAAACCAATAACATTTTGTCGATTGGAATTCAATGTAAGGAAATTGAATGTCTCAATCCCTAACCTCGATACAACGGAAGTCTCAAATGTCTGAATCAGCCCGAGCCTCAGGCGCATCAGGCTGATGCGCCTGCACAACGCACCCTTTTTGAGGTGAAAAACTGATTGGCTAATGAGGTTGCAACGCATCAGCCGATGAGCGCATAATGCGGTTTTTCGAAGTCGCATAATGCGCGCATCAGTGATGCGCCCGATTGCTAGGAGACGAAGCTTCTTGGAACGCGGTCACATTACAAATTTCGAGGGCCAAAAAGACCGTTCTGCAGGCATTCGGGCTTGGTTTGCCTCAGCAGCCATGCGCTTATGCGCTTTTCCTGCCCGAATCGCGCCCCTATATTGGCCATTTTTTCTGCCCAAATCGCGCCCCTAGGAGAGCCGTTTCCCTACCCGAATCGCGCCCCAAGGCGAGCCATGTTCCTGCCCGAATCGCGCCTCTAGATAGGCCCTTTTTTCCTGCCCAAATCGCGCCCCTAGGCAGGCCGTTTTTTTTGCCCAAATTGCGCCCCTAGGTTCGCCGTTTTTTCTGCCCAAATCGCGCCCCTAGGAGAGCCGTTTTCCTGCCCGAATCGCGCCCCTAGGCGAGCTGTTTTCTCTGCCCGAATCGTGCCCCTAGGCGAGCCTTTTTCCCTGCCCGAATCGCACCCCTGGGCGACGCTTTTCCCGTGCGCCCTACAGCCCGCGCGCCCGTGCACCCTGCAGCTCTGCAGCTCGCTCGCTGCCCTGCCCTGCAGCCTGCGCGTTGCCCTGCAGCCCGCGCGCTGCCCTGCCCTGCAGCCCTCGCGCCGCCCTACCCTGCACCTTGCGCACTGCCCTGCCCTAAAGCCTGCGCGCTGCCCTGCCCTGCAGCCCGCGCGTTGCCCTGCCCTGCAGCCCGCGCACTGCCTTGCCCTGCAGCCTGCACGCTGCGCTGCCCTGCCCACGCGCTGCCGTGCATGCGCAGCCCTGCAGCCCGAGCACCACTCTGCCCAGTAGTCCGCGCGCTGCCCTGCTCTACAACCTGTGTGCTGCCCTTCTACTGCAGCGACTACCGCTACTGCTACAGCTGCAGCTACAGCTGTCACTTCTAACGCCCTTGCGCTGCTGTTACTGACTGCCATCGCCTATCATGGCCACTATCACGGTAGTAGTAGAGGCTGTCGGTAGTCAACAGCAGCTGCCTCACCGAGATACTCTATCGCCGCAGCAGCTTCGTGAGTGGGTTGTTCAGCGAGGCCGTCCTGGTGGTGGAGGATATGATCCTGGAGGTACTCGACAGCAGCTGCAGCAGAGTCAGTCGGAGACCCCCTTGCTGCAGCAGCCTCGGGAGTGGTTTTCTCAGCGACGTATCTCTGGTACTGTCGGTGCTGCTGCTCTGGATACTAGTGAGCCTGTTGCCGCTCTAGGTGCTAGTGCGTCTGCTGCCACAGGTGCTAGTGAG